CGTATCGAAATCAAAATTTGAACAAGTGGTTTCCTAGTTATTGGACAATTTATATTAAGGAAAATAGTCCATAATAGGGATATGCTTATACAGTTCTACACATGGAACGAGAAAAATAACTAAATAAATCAAGAAGAATTTTACTTGCTATTTACCTAAGTGTTTGACTAAATAAATATAAAATTACGTATTATTTCATTTTATGTGTATAGACTATAGATAACAACGTATACTGTGTAAGCATATCCTTCTTCCCTATTATAAACTATATTATCCTAGCACAAAATGTGTAAGAACTAAAAAACTACCAGTACGAATTTTGATTTCAATACATCAAAATTCTCAAAAAAATTATCCACTAAATAATTTCCAGTAAAAAAGTGGGGTTCCCATTTGAAAAACAAAAGTTTGTATCGCCACAGGACACTCCATAAGTGGTACAAAAAATGAAAATGTTAGTCTTTGAGTATGTTTAAAGATTCTGACCATCAGATTTTGCAAAACTTCATTAGTAAAGAAAAAGGGGGTGAGCATACTTGTTTGATCACTCTGTATATGTGTCCTATATCGTTTTTTTTTTTTTTAGTTTGTAAACGATCTATAATCATCGTATGTAATAGTATTATGTCGATCACCTACGGCGTTGTATTAGCATAATATTATAACGTTATATGCCGACAAATTGTACTCAGCTGTAGAGTAGTATAATAGTATACACACAAAATCCGTTTAAATTTGCACGGGATTCGTGTGTGTTTTTAATCAATTTCCTTTAATCAATATTTGTAGATATATAGGTCATATAATAATTAACCAAAGTAATATATGTATACGTATATCGTATGCACAATATTATTACACGTGTGTTTAAAGATTATGTGACCTGCGATCTAGAATATCGTGACTATTCATTTGTTTTTGACGTATATTTTCCACACATTTACTATAAATCTATTTAAATAGACGCTGTCTGGGAGGGTAGGGGAGGGGGGGTGTTAATCACCTACAACACACACCCCCTTCACTCGCTATATGCCACTGATTATTATAATAATAGTTCTAAATCAGTCGCGATCTTTAAAATTCTTGTCATCACTTCGACAAATAGTGTCCCGAATAACAATTATATACATTATACAAGATATCTTTATACTATTTGTGATTTAATATTTTCTTATAAATATTCAAACACGATTTTGGACAATCATTAAAACATTTAAAACTGTATTAGAGAGCCATGACTGTCGATATAATTTATTTGGCATCTTTTTGTTTCGCTTCGATTCGAAATGATAGAAATAAAACAATTAATAGTGTTATTTTCTGAGTACCTACCTTGAATGTTTTGGATTGTCAATTTTTTTAGACCACAGACATCATGTACCTAACCTATATCATTTGTCTACGTAATGTTTCAGAAGTAAAATTAATAAATCTCATACCTAAATAAGAGGGTATTTTAGTAGGGGAATTTATACAATTAAGTCCCAGATTTGGAATTAAATTGATGGCTAAAATCTGTCTGAAGATACGCCTATATAATTGAGTTAGATAAAAGTATAAAACAGATAGTTTATATTGGATTTTCCTATTTTTATCTTATCTACGTAATTTATTACTAACAATACTTTTTTTTTAGCTCTTATTTAAAAATCTAGCTCAACAATTATAATACATTAAAATGTAAACAAAGCGATATAAAAACAAATGGAAAAATAAATACAATTAAGTAGTATATAACTAAAAAAAAACAATAATAATAATAAAAATAAAACTAACAATACTTAGTAAGTAGTGAGTACTATCCCTACTCTCGATGAGATGAATATCTTCATACAAATATAAATCAATGGTATACATTTTAATACTTGGCCACAATAAAATGTATATAAAAAAAATAAAATTGCTATAAAATAAACGTGTACTTACTTACTTAATTATATTAATTATTCAACATTTGGTAATCTCAGATACTCCAACTACAATTGTTCGATATATTACTTATTTGTGTTAGTAACGGATATAGGTTCTGTTATGTACCGACAGTCTTGGTTTGCAGTAAAATGGGTAGGTAAATATTTTTTTTTGAACTTAATTATGGGTTATTTTTAAGACTTCATCGGGTTATTTTTTGAACCAAATTAAGTGCAGTAAATTTAGGCGCACGGCCCATGGGACTCAACTGCAGCGTATTGCTGCAGGACGTATTGTCCTTAGTAGGTGGGCATGCGCAGACGAGGATGCACACGACGCAACAACATCCTGTATAATGTTAGCATAATATTATGTGAATACAGGTATACTGTACATGTAATACATAATATTATGTGCGCCGAACAGACGTTTTTCTCTTGCAGCCTCGCGATTAAACACAAAATACGAATCGTATTATTATTTTCTCTACAATGACTGTACATATTATTATATAACGGCAGCAGGTCAACTAGATACGAATCGTCGAACCTCCCAGAAG